TATTAATCGCACCTTAAACGGCAGCGTCTATAAAAAAGTAAAAGGCATTGTGTGAGTAAAAAAGAGCAGTTTTTTTATTGACACAATGCCTTTTACTTTTTTATAGACCGTCTAAAATTTTATAACAACTTCTCAATAACTATTTTTGGTAAAAATATTTTTAAGATCTCTACATATAGTATAAAACAAGGTCACTTCCCGTCTGTACGCTTATATCTTTTAAATTACGCATCGGATTTTGATACGGATTACGGTTCAATAGACAGAATCATTCAAGAGGAAGGTTTATATTTGATATATAAAATTAATATTAGTTTGTTCGTATTTTATGCGCTGCCATACCGTTCATCAGGTTATATGTGTGGTGTTATAGGCATAGTTGGAGCCAGTAGGTGGCGCTGCTGATCGATGGTATATAATACATGTATTATATATTATATAATTCTTCTGTCCGTGTGCATTTTACTGAATTCCTACTAAACCTCAAGACCGATTTTGATGAAATTTTGTGTGTGTGATTAAGTTGATTAGAGAATGGTTTAGATTCACAATAGGACCCGGTAAGTGGTGCCGTTGTCGAGATCCAGAAATCGACCGTGTGAAGTCGGGGTGGATCGTTAGTGTTACTATAAAGATTAGAAATTCTACTAGAATTGTTATTGTGGAACTTCCCCGGAACAGAATAAAAACGTAATACGGATACAGCCTTATGCACTGCCTGGGCTCAAGTTTTATAAAACAGATATATGTAGATAAACTTTATTCCTTTTTTTTATAGAATAAAACGAGACACAGTCCACCTGATGATAAGTGATTGCTGCGGCCCATAGACATCTACATCTATCCTCTATTCCAAATCAAAATGTAGATGCGTTGTCACCCGTGAGGACTAAGATGGAATGCCTCATTTCCAGTAAAAAGGGCCTCCGGCCACCTGCACTCACCAAGCAATTATGTCATTTAAAATGTAATAAGATTTATTAATATATTTATTTCACTTATTTTATTCATTCATTATAGCTTATCAAAAGGCCATTGCTAGAATTTTCTTATATAGATTATCATATAGATTGCCTTATAAGCGGTGTTATAATAAAAGGTAGAACTCTTCACCATCATCATCATTACAGCCTTTCATAAGTCCACTGCTGAACATAGGCCTCCCCCAAAGAATGCCACAAAGCACGGTCCTGAGCCACTTGCATCCATCGACTTCCTGCATGTCTTACCAGGTCGTCACTCCATAGCCTAACGGATTAGTAAGCTGAAGTCATATGGCCGGCCCACTGCCACTTCAACACAGCTCGAAGAACCGACAACCGATGGGGAGGAAAGGTTCTGGAGTGGTAGCCTCGTACTGGTAAGCGAAGTGTAGGGCAAACCCCCAGTAGATGGAGTGACGACCTGGCAGAACTCTTATTATATTTAAATTTATCATATTTTGAGTAAGATATGTTGTTACTAATATTTTAAATAGGGAAAGGTGAAGTGAAAGCCGACGGAATTGAAAATTCTACAATTAGTTTTTAACTATTATTGTCTACTGCAACATTTAAAGAATATTTGCTTGTCTAACAAAATGTTATAATTTGTAATAGAATCTAAATTATTATTACTGTAAAGAAACGTATCACTTATACTTGTATATATGACTATTTTAGAGTTTTTAAAAATGGACCATTAAGCATAACACATTGATAATCTATTTTAAAGGGGACGGGAGACAGTAGAACTACGTGATATATTAGATATCGTCTAAGTATTTGGGCCTGCATTACCATTAAAGTTACCGTTAAATTTATAAACGGGGTTAAAGTCCACTTGATGGCATTTGCCACCAAGTGGACTTTAACCCCGTTTATAAATTTAAAAAAAAAACTTAAAAGATATTTTTAACTTAACATTAATTTGTCAAAGGTTCAATGCAACGGAAGTGGCCCATGTCCAGCAGTTCACTTTTTTAGGCTGATGAAAAAGAATGGTGGAATGTAGTATGGAGCTTATATCGCTTTAGCAACATTATCCATCTTGGTTGTAAGTTCATTCAAATTACCACATTATTCTAATGCGTTCCATTGACCAAATGATTAATGTGTGAAGGGCCGACACTTTATTACCCAACTGAATTGAGTGACACGGGGAGAATAAGAGAGAACAATAGCTGAAACAGACCCTTCATTTAGGCCATATATACGATGTCAGCAAAACTTCATAAGGGGAACATTTAGAAAAGAAAGTTATAAAGAGTAACAGATAAGATTAGATGCATCAACTGGGTCAAACAATATATGTTTAATTTAAGTAATGTATTATTTGTTTACATTGTTTAAATCCATTATCCAGATTTCAGATATCAGAAAATATATGTATTGGGCGTTAACGGTTTACTTATTAATGAAATTTTTCCATAATGTGCATTATACGTTTGTGCCACTTTAAATCATAACGTTACCAGCTTTTCGCTTGACCCAACTTACTAGACCAATAGTCAGCTGCAACAGATAATATGCAGCAGAAGCCTAGTCCATGTGCTACCAGTATTTACTTGAATACTTGTATTCTTCGCTATATATATTAAGAAGTATTAAATTCGTGTGTTACTAATTATAAATTTAGTCAAGCAATAAAAAATATAAGGTATGCCTATTTGACTACTTTTATCCTATTCGTTCGAATACCGAATATCTAGGTACTATTTGGCTGAATACCGAACTGACGACGATACCGTGAGAAGGGGGGGGGGGGGGTGAGATGTTTGATGTTCCAATGTCATAGTTATAAGTTTGAATATTAATTTTTGGACCGATCTACGCAGAGTGAACTTACAGTATCTTGAAGTCTTGCAGTGGTATGCTTGGGTTAGGATTTAATTTTGTTAATTATAGAATCCCAAGCAAATGGCATGACCAAAATAGCCAAAAGAATAGAGAAGAAGGAGTTTTAAAAAAATTAATTTAATCGCAGAAAAATATAATTTTAATTAGCTAATGATGCGTCACCGAACAACCGAAGAATATAAGCCGTTCAAGACGATTCAATTGAATAAGTAAAGATCGACTTGCATGTGGCATGCGGAGATAAAAAACCGGGGCGAAGAATAAACGGGAGCGTATCGTAAATCAGTACGGACAGAGAGGGAATTGAAACGTCGCGGCGACGGGCGGCTACGGGCGGCGACGGGCGGGCGACGGCGCGGCGGGACGCGTGCGCGGCGGCACGGGCGACGTGGGGCGGGCAGCGCAGCCTCCGGGTGCAGCACTCCGCAGCCGCCCGCCGCCCGCATCGATCCCGCCCGGGCCATCTCCGGCCAGCGCGACTTGACGTGCTCGCGCTCCGCTCGACGCGCCCCGGCACGCGCTCGCATCCGCTAACGCCCGCCCAAAGGTCCCAACTCACTCCGCTTGTCACCAACGTACACAGTGCTGCAGATTAACGCTTACGTAACGTTCTGGGTTCTGTGCGTGTCAGGTTGAGTGTTTCGCGATATATCCTACTACCAGGCCAGTATCGTATTGTTAAGTAAAGTGTTAAAATGGTTTAATACGTTTTTTCAACTCTACATAGTAAACGTTTTAATAGCTCGTAGTACAAAGTAGCATCTACGTTCGTAGCTACTGCTACGCACGCACATAACCTACGAGCACGCGTCTTCCCGCCGTTATTTTATCACTTTAATTCGAATTAAAGTCTAGTCGTATTGAAATACAGTTGCAAACATTTCAGTCATTTTTGGCGCGTCGAAATCTTGAAAATATGTTTTTTATTTCTTTTACTTTCATTTTAATTTTTTAGTGAATTATTAAGTGTTACGTGATATTCCAAACGAATTTTAAATTTCAACATAATGTCACGCTTATGTTGAAATAACTGTAGCTTATTGTGTCGATTTTATTTGAATTTTTGTATTTACGATATAATTATCTCATCGTTTAACCATTTTACTATCATACTATGTTACAGTTTATGATTTTAAACTAACCTTAGAACAACGGATAGTTACAATAAATATTTCGTAACTTATCTAGATAACCCATTTCAAACCTTTATTCATTTGCTATTTTCACCGTCCGTTTAATTTTTATCATCCTCGCAAATATCCATCGTACCTTTAAATTCGGCACATGAATTATACATGTAAATCTACTTTTCATTTATAAGCAAAATAACAGAATATTTAATAAAATTAAAACTATATAATTCTTATATATATTTGACCTAAAACAAATTAGAATATTCTACGCTAACACAACTTTCATTCAATGCATTCCCGTTTAAGCTCAGGTAAATTTGGAATCCACTCTTACTTTCATATTATATTTTCTCTTGCATTTTATTCAATACAGCAATTAACGCTTTAAATTACGAGTATACTGCAGACAATACTGTTTTCGAACATCATTACCACAAACTAAGAAAATACTTGTAAATTACAAAGCAAATATTTTATCAAATATGACTGCATAACATTTGTAATTTTACTAATTAACACTCATTAAGCAAATCTAAGAACTAATTAATGTTAAGGGTTAAGCATGTATTTACCATTGTCTTTATATTTTACAAACAAGGACGTGTTTAGCACGCCGATGTTGCAACGTGATCAATATCAATTAATACATCACGTATTAGAAAACACATAAAAGAAACCCAACATTGTTAACTATAAGCAAATATAATGGAAACCCGCACAGTGATGCCGTAGAACGGCTGGATTATATTATCTGTTCCGAACAAATAATCTTTTAAAATATCCGTGTTCTACGGCGGATTTTTTGAACGGTTTTTACGACTTAAAGTAAATAAAGTGTCGGTTAGTTATTTGCAAATATAATTAGTCATCGGGAATAACTCATCGCTCATTATCCATCAAAATAGTTTACGTGGTCCTTGGGAGTGGACGCGTGCGCACCATTAACGTTTTTACCTTTCGAAATCCAAAATCAGTAATGAGAGGCGGCGTCGTCGCGTAAGTTCGGGTGTTTTCGGCTTGTGCTGTGAGCATGTCTTCGGAGAAGGAGAAGATGGCGATTACCGAGAAGAAGTCGCCGTCTAACAAGAGCAACTGTGCTTCACCTGGAAAGAAAGGTATTTTATTTATGATCAACAGTGACAAATTAAACAAACGCGAGCCTAACGGGAACTTCTGTTAGCCCATAACATAAAATCTCATTACTATAATACTAAAACTATTTGGACCACTTTTTAACATAATGTGAAATAAAATTGATATTTATGACTTTATTAAACAGCAACGGTCTATATTACTTCATTATATTTAAACCGTGTAGTTTTGAAGTCGGCAAAATAATAATGAATCAGCAATGAATTTTATAAGCTATTTGTTTTTTTTTTAAATAAAATATCGAACATATGTACGATAGCAGTAGACTTCTGATATACTGTAATGGTAACGGTAACGGTATCATATTTTAGAACAACTGAACTTTAATTTTGACCACTAACACTTACAATGTGGACAGATATTTATGACTTTTTATAACAGCAGCGTCCTAAATCATATTATTATATTCAATGGCGGTGTAAGAGTATCCACTCATCCATCATCCCGTGGGTGTCGTTAGAGGGAAATAGAGGGAATCATACCAGGAGATGGATAGCAGTGTCTCCTTTTTTTATAGGATAAGGGTGTCAAACGAGCACACAGTCCACCTGATGGTAACTAGTTGCTGTGACCCATAGACAACATCTATGTTCGATTACGAATCAAAATGCACTTGCAATGTCACCCGTGAGGATTAAGATGAAACACCTGGTTTCCATTAAAAATGGTCTCCGGTTTTCTACGCTCACCATTCGAAACACAGCAGCGTTAAGCTGCTATTTTACGCTGGTATTCTGTGAGAGTGTGATCCTTCCCCGGTCAAGCCAACCCATTCATACTACACTATACTACTAATAGAGCTGCAGCATGGGTCTACCATATAGAATAACAATTAAAAAATACGGTTGCCAACCGCTTGCCAAACATGGTAACTATGACAAATATCCCGTCTATAAAGCAATCTATGGAGGAGGCCAATTTTGAGGAGTTGACTTTTAATAGGCTGTAACTGATCTTTAATTTTGCAAATGTATTGATTCAACTTATCTATAGTAAAAATTCTGCAAATACACGTGCGTTATAAGTTATTTAATACTTAACCTTCACCTAGCTGCAACAACGCGAGGTGAAGGATAGAAAATAGGGAAATATACTAGTGAACATTTGTCAGGTTTCATGTCTTTACGCAGCGCCCAAAGCCGAGGAATCCTAACCGGACTTAATGTCATAGAGCGAGGTTGCTGGTTTTGCTAAAGATAAGCTGTATAAGTTTGTAGAATATGAAAAATAAATTTCAAATGTAGCTAAGTCGGTTATTTAACTTTATATTCTAGACTATGTCTTAATAGTAGCTTTGTTAATATTTATTAAATTAAAACATTTTATTAACTTTACTGACTAATGACTAACGGGCTTACGATCCACTTAATGGTAAATACATGGTAGGAATCATTCTGTGACTAACCAAATTCAACCAAAGAAAATAACCATACAGTGTCAGCCTCTTCATGTACCCTGGTTCATGAATACTAGCTTAAGTAGGAAATTAGTTACTACTGCTCATATACTCAGATCTGGACATGTTCCATGTAAAAAATTTGTATTCCTGATGAGAAAAACAACATCGCCCAATTGTGAAGACTGCGGTATAGAAGTCCAACACCATTTATTGATGGAATGTGTTCGATTTGAGTCTGTTAGAAGTAATTTAATAAGGGTCTTGAATTTGAACAGAACTGACGTAGGCATATTTCATAATATTTTATCCCAACCAAATGACGATGCGAAAGTTCTGTGCGAATCCATGGCTCGCGTAGTATAATAAGTAATAACTAACGTTATATAAGTGATGTATGTTAAGGTATGATGGGGCTGACATACGTTCACTGCTGAACAGAGACCTCCCCCATAGATTAACTCACAGGGAGGGTATTGTATATAGGTGCAAAGCTTGGCAGGTGAGTTGGCCACTGCAGTTTTTTTTAGCTGACGTAAAAAATAAACGTAAAAAGGTAAACAAACTATAATTACAAGAATGTTAATCACCCACGAAATAATACTTTAGTCATCATCATTATCATCATTACAGCCCCTCACAAGTCCATGCTGAACATTGGCCTGCCCCAAAGAATGCTACAAAGCACGGTCCAAAGCCACTTTCATCCATCGACTTCCTGGATGTCTCACCAGGTCGTCACTCCATCTAATGGGGGGCCGCCCTACTTTCGCCTACCGGTACGAGGCTTCCACTCAAGAACCTTACTCCCCCATCGGTTGTCAGTTCTTTGAGCTATATGGCCAGCCCATTACCACTTCAGTTTATTGATTCGATGTGGGTTACTCTGGTTCTACTGCGAATAACCTCATTTCTAAGTTTATCACGCCGAGATACCCGGGCATAGCGCTCTCCATAACTTAGTGTTACACTAAATTATTTGCTTAGTGAGTTATCCTTTTTATAACAACTAACCAATAACTTACTTAAACTTACTTTTTATTTCATGTTCTAAACATTATTGCATTTCAAGCTAAAGCCTCTGTTGAAGACCTTCATTAGTTTCGCCAGATTCTGTCGTATCCTATTAAGCAAAAGTATCTCTGTGTTGCCGTTTCGTTCAAATTAATAAATTGAATTCATCTGCCCTTAATTCTAAATGAGTATTACGCTCTATAAAAGATTATCTGGAAAGGTTTCTTTTGGATGGCACCCCCATTTCGGATGAATTTACTTGTTACAATTACAATTAAATATTATTAAATCTTATAAGGCCTATGCTCAGCATTGGATTTCTGATCGGCTATGATGATGAAGATGATGGTGATCATGATCATTCATGCATTACACCACATAAAAGTTTACTGCTAACCGTAGCCCCCCCCCCCCATATGTCGCCAACTAAGAGGATGTTTGCCATAGTTGCCACACTTGGCAGGAAGTTTGGCAACCGCATTTTTTTATAATTTTGAGTTATTATCAAGAAAAGGCCGGTACTCATCACCTGTTTCAGTTTCCCTTAGAACTGTTGTTGTCTCCTACAACACCCACCTCTTACGATACCTCATATCGGTATTGGATATACTTACACCGCCATTACACGGTTGGATGATGATGAAATCTCTTAATTAATTAAGTGTTATGACAATTATCATTATATAAAATTTTATTTAATGATTTTACTAGTATTAACTCGCATCGTGTTATTTAAATTAAATTATGTCATCGATTAAAAATTGCTGTATGGTGATCACTTAAAGGATTGTACTATAACTTTTCTTAACATATATGTTATATTTAGCAAAATAAGTAAGATAGTAATGGCTGTCAGGACTGGGAATCTAGTTTTTGAAATTCATAAATAATCCCTTTGTGTTATATTAGCTGGACTTTTGCTTGCTGTGAACGATGTACTCTCGTTACATTCGCTGATCAACCAGAACAATGTCGCAAATATAATAGAGACAAAGCATGAGCATTTTTGCTATTTACTTACTCGAATGTTCTCTATCACTCAACTCATATCATGCACTGTTGCTGTAAAGATCAATAATTAGAAAAATCAGAACAAAGAGGTTTTAGATAGATAACAAAATCATCATGATCATGATAATCATAATCTGATTCAGCTCATAAACGGTTCCAGTCGCTGCGAAATGTGACCTCCTTTAGGATAATTTACCGTAATTACCATGCTTGGCAATGAGACTTAAAATGGAAGTAAAAAATCATATAAAGATTTTCTAGTAATATTCAGGTTGGCTATAAGAATAGGAAGAATAAAAAAGCGTCAAAAGCCTACCAAATGTTACGATTTGTTGACGGCGCGGCGGTGATGACTTCAAAATTAAGAATATTATATAATATTTAAACGGATAGAATACGTTAAGTAAAACTATGGTCACATAAGAGAATTCGCTATCCCGTGGGCAGGCAGGCAGCAGATGGATGTGAAACAGGAGATGAGCAGCAGAATCTTCCTGATAAAACACAAAATAATTAAAAAAATTACGTTTGCCAACCCGTCTGCCAAGTATGGCAATCCCGTATGGGGCAATCTATAGGGGAGGTCCCTAATGTAATGTAATATAATTAATGAATGGTTTACGGAGGACCGAGGTGTTGGACGTCCTGAAGAAGTAGTTAATCTGGGCTAATTCATGCTTTTTATTATTAATTTATTGTCTGGATTACAAAATTACCTTACATTATCTTGAAGCCTTGCAGGGGTATTTAGCTTTTTATTTATGTTATGTTATTATTATTTTTATATTTTTTATTTATTTATTTATATTATGATTTCCTATCTTCAAATTCCACGCGAATTACTCTTGCCAAGTATTTGTGTTCTTTTGCAAAGGGGTGGCTGGTGATTTGTGGTCTATTAAACATGATATAATGGCAGTGTTATGGCAGACTGCTATCTTCCAAAACCTCAATTTCTAACGTCAGCAAAAACGTACACACATTTACGCGGCTTTTTAGCGGAGACTATATTTGCTATCAAGTTTATATACATCTGCGTCTTGTAGAAGGATATTTTACAAACGAGCTAATATTATCAGACTGCTTGGAAAATCTTGTAATGAAAGTTCACTTCAACATATCTGTGACTCCCCTAACATACCTTATGTACCTACAACTGGCGGTCCGGCGGCGGCCGCTTTTATACGTCAGTGTGCCATGAGGCATGAAACCCGATTCCTCTTTTCGTGCAATACTTACTCTCACAGATCTCTTATGCTCTTTATAAAGTTACGTACTTTATTACAGATATTTTTTTATTATCATATTATCAAAGTTAATTCAAGTGATAGGCTTAAATGCCAAATATATATTAATTAGAATGAATATTTAATGCAAATTTATTCACAGTGTAAGTATGTTTTGTAACAGTTTCAAATAATCCATATCGTCTACACACACATTATAAAATAAGCCTGTGAAGCCGCAACAGTGAGCCAACGACCAGGGTTAGAAGCTAAGATTACGGTTTCATGAGTATTAATATGTTAATAGTTTGACCGC